CCCTATACTGGGGTTTGAACCCAGGGCCTTGTGGATGCCAGAAAATATTCTAACACTGAGTTATATCCCCAGACCTTTTTTTTTAACCCCTTCTTTTCTTTTGGTGGTGCTGGAGATCAAACCCAAAGCTTTGTACATGTCAGGCAAGTGCTCTGCTTGCTGCTGAGCTACATTCCCAGCACATTCCCAGCCCTTTCTACTATTTTATTTCAAGGCAGAGTCTTAGTACTTTGTGCAGGCATGCCTTGAAGTTGTCACCCTTTCAAATCAGCCTCCTGGATAGATGAACTTATAGGCATTGCACCACCATTCCAGCTCACTGGTCTTTTTGATGATGGCCATTCTAACAGATATGAAGTGAGAGCTCATTGCGGTTTAAATTTTCATTTTCAAAATGATTAGTGATGTTTAATATTTTAAAATCTACTTTTTGGCTATTTGTATCTCTTTGAGACTGACTGTTCAGAAGACTTTGGTCTATCTTTTAACTGGTTGTTTTCTTGCTATTTAGTTTTTTAGTTCCTCATACATTTTGGATATTACCTTATTGGATTCATAGTTTGCAAATATTTTCTCCCAACCCTTGGGTTATTTCTTCACTCTGTTAACTGTTTTCTATGCTGTGTAGATTGTCTTTGGTGTGATACAATCCCATTTGTCTTTTTTTTAAAATAAATTTTGTCACCTGCTTTTTTTTTTTTTTTGAGTCCTACTTGAAACATCATTACCAAGACCAATGCTGTGTGTGGAGATTTTTCTCTCTTTTTTTAGTAGCTTCACAATTTCTTGTCTTAAATTTCAATCTTTTATCCATTTTGAGTTCTTTTTTTTTTTTTTTTTTTTTTTTTTTTTTTTTTTTTTTTTTTTTTTTGGTACTGGGGAACCAATCTGCTGAGCTAAATCCCTGGCCCTTGAGTTCATTTTTATATAGGGGAGAATTTCATTCTTCTACATGTGAATATCTAGCTTTCCCAACATTATTTATTGAAGAAACTATCCTTTCCCCAGTATCCTTTTGACAACTTCGTTAAATATTAACTATAAATATGAAAGTTTATTTCTGGGCTATCTGTCCCATTTCATTGTTCAGTGTGTCTGTTTTTAACCATACTGTTTAGACTATAATAGCTCTATAATATATTTTGAAATCAAAGATTATGATGCTTCCAGCATTACTACTCAAAGCCATCTGCAATTACATGTAATTCCTATCAAAATCCCAGTATCATTTTTTCACAGAAATAGAATAAACATATCCAAAATTCATATGGAACCAGAAAAGACTCTAAATAGCTAACAAGCCTTTTTTTTCCCCTTTTTTGGTCAATGATAGAGTGATCATCTTAGAAGTACCAATGGGACAAAAAATGTCTGCAGACTTCTTTCCAAATATATTGAAGGAGGAGTCACTAGACATTGGGCAAAAAATCAAGCAAATCTAAAGAATAGCACCAGATGAATTAACAGGAGTATTATGATTAATATAAAAGAGCACCATGAATGACTGTGCTGGTTTAAAATTTTCTTCTTGAAGATAAGAAAAGTGGAGTAAGTCAGTAATTTTTAAAACACCAAGGATCCAGTCTCTTTGACCCACTGAATCAGAAACTAGAGATAGGGCTCAGCTATCAACACTCTTGAGACTCCCTCTGGTGATTCTAATGTGTGACTACTGTTTAGAATCACTAGAGTAGATGACTAGGACTTGTTTATAAGGCAATGATCTGTAGATTCAGTTGGGAGTCCAAAGGAAAATCTCCAGATCATGAAAATAGTTTTGGCAGAATGAAATAGAAAGTGTAATTGAATTTGGAAGAGAAAGTGGATACCAATGTTTTTCAGATTTTAATATGCCTGTGAATTATTATAGTTGGTTAAAATGCAGATTTTGATTCAGCAGGTTTAGAGTGGAGTCTCAGATTTTGCATTTCTCACAAGCTGTCCAGGCTTTGTTGACCCTGCTGCTTCTGTGATCCTACCAGGAGGAACTGTGGGTAAATGTCTTCTTGCTTGAGGAAAGGAGGTGTCCTGGTTTGAGATTTAGGTGCCTGTTCTGAAGTAGTAAAGTGTAGCCACATCATGGAATACTTTATTTTGTAAACAAGGCATGACCCACTAAGAATATTACTTTTCTAATGTTTTAGAGGAGGAATAATAGTATTTTGTTCCACTTCCTGAACAGTTAAATTATGTTAAATAGGATTTGTTAAGTTTAGGGATTAAAGAAAGATATATGAGACAGCTTGCAGGAGGAATCTGCTCTTTCTGGCGAGACAGAAAGTTAACTAAATTACAATGTGTGACACTAACAGAATTAGCAAGACATATGCTTTAGGAGCAGAGTGAGGGCAAAAGGTAACATTGATTGGGGAGAGAAGATGCTTGGAAAGGCTTCATGGAAGAGGTGATATTTAAATCAGACCTTGAAGAATGAAGGAGTGGAATTATGATAAGTAAACTATGAAAAGGAAGCAGGAAGAGTGTTTCAGGAAGAAAGACTTAAAGCAGTTCTCAAATTTGGCTACATATCAGATCATCTGGCAAGACTTTAAAAACACCTTTAGATAATCTAAATTAATTTGAACTTGGTCACCAGTGTTGTTAAAAAATCTTCTTAGTGATTTGAATGCATAATTAAGATGAGAATCACTGAGGATATATAGTCACAAGGCTTGTTAAAATGTTTTAAAATATTTCAAGGGAAATGGGAGCAAAAAAAAAAAAAGTCCTGGATGATTTTTAGGAAAGTTATGCAGACCCACTGTGGTAGGGGGTTTATAAGTTATTATCACTCATAATTAGAGTAGTATATAATTAGTGCTGAAATAACCAAAGGCCATGGAGTATGTGCTTTGTAAATGCAAATTAGATGGAATTAGGGCCTGTTCCATAGCAGTAGCTACTGTCTTCATTCGATAGCTTTTGCAAACAAGAGAGGAAAGATAGGTGGTCCAGGTAGCACTGCCATGACAGGGGTCTGCACTGGGCTGGTGGCCTTAGGTAGAAAGAAGGTGACTGTTTGGATGGTTGTGGGGTTTTCGAAGGCAGTGCAACTCAGAGTATGTCCCACAGCCCAGTGAGGAGCTTGTTAGAAATGACACATACACACCCTGTGCTGAGCCAGGGTTTCTAAAAGAGGACTTGTCTAGATGATTTTTAAGCACAATAAATTTTAAGAAGTGAGGGTCTGTGGAGCTGAAAGAGACTCCAAGAATCAGAGATTATGTACTTACATACACTCAGACACAGACATACACAAAGCCCTACGGAAAGCTGAGAAGTAGGCAAAGAAGTAAGTGAACAGGTAGAGAAATGTCTCCTGAGCAGGACCCTGGATGCACAGGGGCAAAGCCTTGCAGTGGGGAGGCGTGGGGGCTGGCAGCCACAGGCTGAGGCTGGGCGTGGCACCCAGGGTGCCAGGAGTAAACAGGCAGCTGCTGAGCTGCACAGTAAGGAAGGCCAGGCTGACACAAGGACAGCTGTAAAGCCTTCCAGTTATGGTCCCCTTTTTTTGGCAGGCATGTCCTTCCTTTGCCTCTTTTGTACCCTGTCCTGCATTCTTCGCTGGTATCTGGTGCAAAAATGCCACTAGACAGTACAGTTTCTACCCTGAAGGTCCCTTCTCATCTTACTTTCTGTTTTTAAGTTTCACTTTACTTATTGCAACAGTTTTATATTCTTTTGGTTTCATATTTGTTAAGATTATCATTTCACTTTGTCACTCACCATTAAACTCTTTAGCCACACTTCTCCAGGCTGATTTTGAGCATTTCTTTTCTTAGTTCCGAATTTTTGTTTCTTCAGAGCTATTGGCCCATTCATTCTTTCTTTGCCCCATTATGCTAAAATTCAGTCTCTCCATGAGCCTGTTCATCTCTTCCCTTCCACTCCATCATCCTGTTACACTTACTTCTCACTTAAATCTTCTAAAGGGACAAACATCACGTCTAAGTGTTTTGATCAAAACTAAAACTGGCTCATTGCTTGTGCAGGCTAATGCTGTTTCAGAGATCAGTGACTTGATCCTCAGTGAAAGATAGGTTGATGGGTAAAGAGGAGCATTTACTTCACACGGCTGATGAGAGACCCCGTACTTTTACCAGAGCCATGCCTGGAAGTAGGCAAGTCACTTCTGCCCACATTCCCTTGGCCAGAACTCAATCATATCACCTCATCTTACTAAAGGAGAAATGGGAATGTGGTTTAGCAATATTCCCAGGAGGAAAAAGAATTAGATTTTATACATACTTAAATGAAAGAATTTTAGTATTCTTCGCCACACTCTACTATCACTAAAACTATTACTTTGTGGATTCACCATGTTGGGAAGCATAATAATGAGATCTGGCATTAAGTGTTCAGTGTACATCAGGTCATCAGGTATGTTACACATATCCAGTTCAGCACTTAAGACAATAAGCTTACAAAGGAATTGCTTTCACTGTACTCATTACACAGACATGGAAATGAAAGAACGAAGATAACTTATGCGAGGTTGCACAACTAGTAACTTTGTGGCTGAACTGGTACCGGAACCCATACAATCTGACTCCAGATACTGTATATTAAATGACCTTCTGTGCAGAGAAAGAAGACCAAGAGGGGCAAAATGGAACTGAGTAGAGATGACTATTTTATAATACACATGGTGTATATTCAGATTTCTCAACTTCTGTAAGGATTGACTTCTTCATTTGTAAATCAGATTACTAATATTACATAATACATAATATGGTAGTTACGAATGTAAATAAGTTAATGTATTTATTACATTCAAGTTCATGCCTCTGTACAATTTTCATATATAATTTTATTTCTGGCACATAGTAAATATATGGCAAATATCATACATTATTATTGTCATTGTTATACCATATTTGAATACAAAGGAAGGCTTGTGTCAAGTATTTGAGTTAGTGCCAATTATGGCTGTTTCTCTTTTGTGTGCTTTCTCTCCAAACTCCTTTACATCCTCTTTGGTGTGTGTGTGTGTTTTCCAGGAAAAGATTTGTTCATGTTAAAAATCCCTACCTGGATACTATGGATGAAGACATCCTCTATCACTTGGATTTAGGAACAAAAACACATAATCTACCAGCAATGTTTGGGGATGTCAAGGTAAGAATATTTCTAACTGCAGAAAAATGATTGTGTTCCTTTTGCTAATGTTTCTCTTACTTTCCCCAAATAAACTTTACACTCTTGGCTAAAGAAATGTCAGAGGTCCTGATGGGAAGTAGGGCTGTACTAACTCTCGGAAACAACTTGCAAAGTGAACATCATGTACAATTATTTCCACCCTGTCAAGGTATTGGTTCCCAAACTAAAATTAATGCCAGCATAATTATTCGGCTCCACGGGCTCCTGGAGACAAATGCAACTTTATTAACATTACTGCTGGATGCTCAGAATTCATTATGTTTTAACAGATTCGGTTCAGTACTTAATGTCCACATTTACTGCAGCACCTCACTAATTCTCATTTTATTAAGTCATAAAAGAATTCAACAAAACTAACAATACCGTATTAATCTACTTCTTGAAAATAATCATTACACAATAGTTCATATTATTGAGGTGTTTTTTTTTTTACTTCATAAGAAAATTGTTCATATAATATTGCCAGGAAAATTGGATTTCTGTATAATTTATTTTATCTTATACAGTTTAATAATAAAAGCAATTCATATTCATTATTTAAAATTAGGATAATATTAAAAAAACAATGATTGTTTTAAAAACACACCTCATAGTCTCACACCTAAACAGACAAGATCGGCACATTCAGGGTGGTATGGCCATAGACTCACACCTAACCCAACACACCATCAACCCATTTCTCTTTTTTTTTTTTTCTTTTTATTGAGGTTATTGGTGCAATCTAGGTATACAATACAATTACATTCATCATTGGGATTCTGTACCTTTACATAATAGGTCTTGATTCTCATTTTTCCCCTTGTCCCTGCCCTCCCTTCACCCCCCCTCCCCTCCCCATTTACAAACACTTTATTTCCATTTTTTCAATTTCTCATTTTTTTTTCCTCTCCCTTATTACCTCTCCCCCACCCTTCCCACTTTCCTTACACCTTTAGCCCTTTACTTCCTATTTCACATTATTAATTGTCACATTAGGATCCTGTGTACTATTACAGTTTTTCACACCAAAGAAACTATTCGTCAACCCATTTCTTTTATATTAATCCTTTTTAATGGATATATTTAAAATATCGTAAGTGACACATCTCTGTGCTCTGCATTTCTCATTTAATTTTCTGACATTAATATTTTCTCATTTATTGCATTTTCTTTAAAACACATTGTTCACAGAGGTAAAGTGGCTGTGTCATAAATTACAAAGCCTATTATCAAGTTTCATGTTAAATATTTTGCATTATAAACAAGACCTGAGTGGCCATTTTTGTTACTAAGTATTTTGTACATTTAGGTGTGTTTAGGATAATTCATCAAAATGATAAAAGGGAATGAACTCTTTTTTAATTCAATAAGTTTATTGGTATATTTTAGTTATAAATTCCTCATTGGGAATTCGTACCTGTACATAGTGTTTCTTGATTCTTGTTTTTATCCCTTTCCCCTTCCCTCCCTCCCTATTTACAAAAAAACCTTTGTTTCCATGTTTTAAAAGTCCAAAAGGAGGAGGGAAAGGGAGGGGGAGGGAGGGGAAAGGAAAGAAGGGAATGAACTTTTAAGAAAAAAAATTCCAAAAAGGCCTATACATATTTATAGTCCCATCCATGGAGAATTGTGCAGTTTTCAGCTTTTTCTCTGCTCCTTTACTGATTATAAGAATACAAATAGTTTTCATATCTACTATGTCATGAAATTGTCACATTAGCTCTTGGAGTTGGAGTTAGCAAGTCTTGACCTGCTCCATAGAACAATGAACCTGAGTTCAGAAAGGCTAAAGTTGTACTACGGAGGGGCAGAGCTGGGCACAGACCAAGTTCTTCCAAATCCAGTTTCTAGGGTTCTTGCTTATTGTACCAGGTGCCTTTTCTGAGTTACGGTGAGCCCGAATAGTCCATCAATCCAAGGGAAGATGGGAGAAGAGGAAGAGGTTAGGCAGAAGAATAAGAGAAGGAGGGGTGAGGTAAACAAGGGGAGGAAAAGGAAGGAAGAAAAGAAGAAATAGACCTGTGATGCTTGGTTTCAGTAGATGCCGAGTTGTCTCCTCCCTCGCTCCTAGAGTGTGGTGCAAGGTCGTGGGGAGATGTCCCACCAGCAGCGTGATGGGCCCTTTCTCCATCCGTCTCCAGACTACTGCTCCTTGCCTTTGTGTGGCCTCTGTCATCTTCTGCTTCGCCTTTTCTCCCTCCTGCCTTTTCGGATGCTTATGCTCTAGGAATCATTGATCAAGTTGCCTCACAGTGGTTCTCCCAGGACCTTTATCTAGGGATTATTGTGATGAATAAAAGGCTCATCATAATTAAAAAACTAAATTATGAATTAGTTAATAAGTTAAAGAGACTTAGGGCATATTTTTAAGACAGAGAATGATCTATTTTCTTCACGTCTGTCTCTCCTCCACCATTGATGGAGGGCCTTCTGTGTGTCTGACTCTGTATGGTATGTGAAATTGTATCCCATTCAAGTCCCAGTCTGACAGCTGTGTTTGACACAGTTTGAGAGCTGTTGGCTCCCATTTCCAGATGAGGAAACTGGAGTTCAGGCAAATGCATAAAGTACGTAATTATTATTTATCTGTTAATAATAGGCACAACACAGCTGGAAAGTGAATAAGTTGGGACTAAATCTTGAGTTTTTCTGATGAAAAAAAGTGATTTTTCTTCCAGCACTTTGGTACTTTGTTAATTTCTAGGAAGTCAATAGACTTAGTCTAGAGATGAAAATAATGAGACACACACACACACACACACACACACACACACACACACACACTCCCCTCATCTCTGTTACAAGCCCAGGAGTGAGGCTTTCATTCTCTACTTCTGTGCCTGACTTGATTTTCATCTGCACTTATTTCCCACTCAGAAACTTATTTTCATTGTCATAAACTACTGTCCAGCCTTCCAAACTTTCCAGCCATCTGATATGGAACTTCAGTAGATTCACTTTTGCATAAAAGAATGCACTTTTTATAATCTGTTTTCTCCCTCCAAAGAGCAACTCTACTGATTAGATTAGACCATTTTGACTGGAGATAAAAATGTGTTTGTGTGTGTGTGTGTGTGTGTGTGTGTGTAGAGTGAGGAGCAGGTGACATGGTTTCAAATGATCAGAGCTGGCTGTTTAACCTAAGCCAGAATTTTTTAGAGGCAGCAGGTAAAATTTGATTTATTTTCACAGATGCTTTTTCTTGGCCTTGTCTTTCTCCAGGTGCATTCTTATCATTGAATAAGAACATTCTAGGCTCAATTTATTTACTCCCTTAAATCTCAGGACAGCAATCCTGACTAGGGAACATAATGAATTGTACCTGAAAACTCACCCTTGCCTTTACAGTAATGATGACCATTATTATTGACATTGTTTAAAGAAAGGAGAGTTCTGGACATACAAGTTTCAACCTAAAAGACTCTGACAGTCACCCTTATTTTCTTCATGTCCTCACTATATTGCTATCTGTCACTGCAAAATATCACAATCTTAGCACAATGTATATTTACTTCTTGCTCACATTAAGTAGAAAACAAGTAGTCCTAGTTCATGGATGGCTTCCCTCAAACTGGTGGTTCTGGAACCCAGGCTCCTCCCTTCTTGTTGTTTTGTCACCTTCAAGAAGTAGCTTGCAGTTTTTCTGGGTGCCAGTCCCCATCCAGCAGCTGGATCACCAACATACCCCGTAATAAGGGAGATTCCCATGGGCCTGAACTGCAAAAGGCATGCATCACTTCTACTCATATTCTAGTGGCTGGAACTCAACATATGGCCTCATCTAACTGGAAGAGAGCTTGGGAAGTTAAGAATTGCCATGTGCCCAGAAAGAAGAGGAAAACATTTTTGGCAAATAGCTCATTAGTATCTGCCATACTCATGGGAAAGAATCAAACCATTGAAATACAGTGGAGGATCTCTTTCAGGAGTTATTTTTCAAACAACATTCAAATATATCTTCTATAATGTCTTCTATAGGTATCTTAGAAGTCACTAACTGCTGCTCGCTAGTCTTAGAAACTTTAAGTACCATGCAAAGTCTTTACTTTATAAAACTTGGTATATAATGCCTTTTGAAGGTGTTTATACTCCTGTGTCAGCACATCAAATATACCAACTGCATTTATGTATTAGAACAATTAAAAAATGGCAAAGTCAAGCCTGTCAAGATAGTGGGGATATCTGAAGGAGAATTTGTTCTGATAATCATCAGGCAAATTCCATATTTTTTGTAGTGACTTGACTCTCCCTTAAAGCATTTCGAGCTTTGATAAAACCAGGGAGATATTTTTTTTTGAAACATAAATCACAGTAACTGTCACCAAAGGTCAATGTCAGTTGGTGGTCTTTAGCCATGCTTTGCTTCTCATTAAAGCAGCCGGACTGAAAATTGACTAGAGGTGATGTTTAGAAAGTCTGGTGTAGGAGGAAGTCTTTGAGAACTGAGCTGCTTCTGTCTATACATGCCATCTTTATTTCTCCAGAAACATTCAGAAATTCCTGTTGATTACAGCAATATCGACAGTTCAAAGAAGAACTCAAACCACAAGTTATTCTAACATCTGCTTTGGTTTTATGGTCAATCCAAATAGTTATAATTTACATTCACTGGTACCACACGGTGCAGTTATTTTCACTCTACCGTATTTTGTTTAAAAAAATGAAAAGGCCCTCTTACACTTAGATCTTGAGCCAAAACTTAACTATCCATACGAACAGAGAAGCAAAGTCCACAAATAATCAATAATGATTGAAAAACTCATTTTAAATAGAGATCTTATCCTCTTGCTACCCAACCTTTATGGCTGACTTCCATTGCAGTTTGTTACTGGATTAAGTATCCAACAGAGAAACTCCTAAAAAGCCACAGGAAAGACAATAACAAGGGGCAGATGAAGAGCAGAGGGGCTGGATGAAAGGACAATTACATTCCATAATTAAGAATGAGCTTGTGCGGCCCAGGAATTATTGCTAAATGGAAACAGAATGTATCATGTAATCAGACCACCCAATAGTTAACAGTTTATTATTTTTGTGAATGGGGGTGCTCACGCTACAACCCCAGTCAGATACTTCCTCAGATCTTTATCTTTGTGAGGACTTTCTCATCCCTCTTCTGATGCTCTGCCCAATGTGCCCACCTCAGCCAGGAACCACCAACTGCCTTTTCCTTGCTAGAGAACTCAAATCAGCTTCACTTGTACAAACTCTACAATATAGAAACAATGAACAAGCTCAAAAGGAGGGCCAGGAAATTATTACATAACACTGGAAATACTAATCACTATTGACGAGACACAGAGAAGGTGCCCACTCTTGTAGGATGTCCTTTGTTATATACAGTCACATTTTATCCAACAAACCCTCCCCGCCCCGAGCAATTCTGTGTTTTCCCTCTTTGGAGATGATGGTCTGAGGCACATAGATATTACATTTGGGAACATTGAGCAAGTTGCTTAATCAGTGAGTGGCTGAGGTTCAAAGACAAGTATACCTAAGTCCCAGGGCAGGCCTCCAACCCCTGGCCACCTCTTCCTGCCTTGGAACATCTTCACACTCTGTACGGCAATGCTCAGCTTGAGTTTCTGTGTGACTTTGTATCTGCTGCTATCTGTGGACTGCTTCCTCCTGACTCTGGGATATTTTGCTGCTGCTCATCCTCTCCATGGCTGACTTGTGCTCACTCGGCTGGCTGCTCATCCCTGCTGTCAAAAGGCCACTGGCATCTACTTTCTATCAGGAAGTAACTACCAATTTAGTGATCAGACTTTATTATATGAGGTTGCAATATATCTTAATTTCAGAGATATTAAAGGAAAATAAAACAGAAACAAACAGAAATCACTGGAATAGGTGAGCTCTTGCAGTAAAATTCCAATTCATAATAAGGGTTGTTCCATGAGAATTTCTCCTGAATGAGAAATTGGAAGTGTTAAACACGATTCCTCTATAGCTTAAAGCTATCACAGTACATTTTAAAATAAAAGCTTGTGATTGGGGATGCAGAATCAGAAAACACATGGGAAACCAGTAATTCTCCCTTTGTTTTCATATTACTTACATTCCATGTTCTCAGTACTTACATACTAAGCATATATTACATTAATCCCCTACCGTAGGCTGATTATATTAATATAAGATGATTAATGATACTATAAACAAAAAAGAAAGAAATAACTTCTTGAACAATAGCGACATTTAGGATAATTTTGTGACTTTCTTTACTAATGTGATACATAAAACTGCATGTCCTTGCAATCTTTACAGGTTAATGATGTGAATTAGCTAGTTTGTGAATATAACCCATGACATCTCCACACTCTCTTAAGTGAGTTAATGGAATATTAAAATAAAAGCATTACAGTTGAAATCTGATCCTGATTTCTTATCCTAGTTACTATAGAAGGTACTTGTTTATTTTTATTAACAGTTTGTCTGTGTTGGTGGGAGCCCCAATAGAATGAAAGCATTTGCACTGTTCATGCACAAGGAGCTTGGGCTGGCAGAAGGTGGAGAAGACATTAAAGACATCTGTGCTGGAACTGACAGATACTGCATGTTCAAAACCGGGCCAGTGCTCTCCATCAGTGTAAGTGCACAGTGGTGGGTGTCAGCTGGTCCCTGCAGGATGGAGAACAGAGTGAGGATTTCTGCATACAATTCTTTTCCCCCTCTGATTAGCACTCTTCCATAATTACGCTGCGTGTCCAGGTATGATATCCATTACTGGAAAGAGTCTTTTGGGTACAGCATAGCGTGCAATGTTATTTGTAGCCACCATTTAGCTATTCAAGTTATGAAAAAGTGCTCAACACATTCACTCAAACTCCCTCCTTTGTATTTGTCACTGACTGATGCCACCCCATCCACCAGCAATGTTTTTTGTCTCTCTCTTTTATCTAGCTTTGGGAATGTTGAGTTTTTAGCGCATAGGGGCCAATTTTCAGGAGTACTAAAGCGGGACTTACACTAAAATAAGCTTTCTGAAAATCTGCTGATGCATTTCCAACAAGCCCTTGTGAATTACTCTTCCCTTATTTAGAATATGTTAACAATTCTGGACACACACAATGTCAAAAGCCCACCTGGAAGAGGAATGATTTAAAGTTTTAGGGAAGCTGCAGACCAGTCCGCTAAGTGGTGCCCCTTAGGAGGTATTGGTGTCTGCACATCCCTTTCACCTTTTCCAACTAGTCTCCTTGCACAGGGCAGGATTCTGAAGCAATGGCTATGTGTCCATCGCATGTATAGACACGACAGCCCTCCTAAGAGTCACAGGCAGGCAAGTCTGGAAACAAGGGGAGAGTCCTGCAGAGGAGGGACAATTCTATGCTGCTGATTTGTAACAGCACCCACACCAGGGACAGTCACCATGCACTGACCACTCAGATTGTCCATAGTACTCCGTGGTTGGGCCGGGGATTTAGCTCAGTGGTTCCGCCTGTCTTGCAAGCGCAAAGACCCAAATTCGATTCCCGGTACCAAAAAAAAAAGTAACTCAGTGGTGATCATGACTGGAAGCCTGGACCAACAAAGGAAAGAGCATACAGAACCAGTGTAGCAGCCAAGTTAGATCTCCCCTTTAGGCCAGGAGTGCCTGAAACCTTCTTTGGGCTCGAATGAGTTCATTCAATCAGTAATTGCAGACTATCTGCATTATTGTAAGGAAGCAGAGTGTCCTCTGAACGTGAAAAATCTTGTCTTGGTAACTTTTGCTGATCTCTCAAATTATAGCCATTTGTCCTTTTGTGAACTAGTAAATGAGGAAGAACAAAAAAGTAAGGTTTATATAAAAAAAATAGAACTACCATAAATGAGCAATAATGCTGCAGAGTAAGACATGAAAATGGCAGCAGACTAACACTGCTGTCCTGTCAGGAAAAAGGATTTGAAATATGTGCCAATCCAAGGATAGCCAATTAAAAATGGGCCTTGGTAGGTAGACAAAAGATTCCCTGTGGAAACCCCTTTGAAAATTCTTCCTCTCTGACAGCGGTCAAAGAGTGTGTCTGTGTGTCTGTGTGTCTGTGCGAGAGAGAGAGAGAGAGAGAGAGAGAATAACTTTAACAGAAACATGAGTTCATTTGTCATTTTATCACTATGTTGCAAAATAGGTGTTAATAATACACTTATCAAGTATCTGATTTAGGAAGTACCTAATAGATCACACAATAATCCACCATCTTAATTTTTTTCATTGAGTTTATTGGTACTTTTTAGATATGTAGTACAATTACATTCATCATTGGGATCTTGTACCTTTACATGACAAATCTTGGTTCTCATTTTTTCTCCATACCCCATCATCAACTTATAGTTCAGAAAATTACCTTTAGTTTATTCATTAGTTGCAAAGCCAGTGCCAACATCCCAAACTCATTAATTTTGAGGGTAGAAATCAATTCAGGTTTGATTCCTGGCTTCAGAAGGTTTATCATACATTCAGAAATGAGGATATATTGGTTGTCCAAAAATGGTGAAGCCAGAGGTTCAGAGCTTTCATTGTTTAATATTCTTGATGTTGAGAAGGAAGGAACTTGGGTGAAGACATGATGGGCACAGCTCCAGTGGTTTTGCCAAGTCTACTCTGTGCCCGAGAGTAGAATACATAGTGGAACCATTTGACTCTCTACTCAAGTGAGGAATGAAGTATCCACTAATATGAAGCTGGGACCTAGTTTTCACAAATATCGGTAGAGAAGGCCTTTCTAAAGAACTATTAGAACGTAGTACAATCACCAAGAGTTGATAAATCCTCTGACCTTGTGTTGATCCCTAGTCTGGTGACATTGATTCTACTGTTCAAAATGCTGAAGAAAACCAGAATTACTCTCATAAGCTATAGCAACTCACCCACATGTTCAGTATAAGCTGCAAATTCGTATGTGGAAATCTTACCACATTTCTCCCCTAGAACTTCTCAATAATCACACAGAATTAGCAGTTAGTGGACAAGGCCACATGGGAACAATGAAATGGTTCTATTCTTTGACTTATTATGTTGGAGAAGCACTGGAAACATGGCAGCCAAAATTGTGTTTCCTCTGAAATAAGTCAGTTGTACAAAAGCTCTTTACACAGGAGTGTTGACAAGAACTCCTTGGTGAGATCAGAAATGGTAGTGCCCTGACACCCCCGTATACCACACAGTCTCTACCTTCTGCTCTTGACAATGAGGGCTGAGCTTGGTTTAACTGGCAATGAGATGCCTGTCTTTGATCCTCACAGATGGACACATCCATCAATGTGTCATGTATGTGTCAGTTAGAGATGACTTACATCTTCCTCAGTGTTGGCAAAGTTGTTAACTTGTAATGAAGGAAGAAAATATGTCCTGTTCCCAAATCTATTTGTGTGATGTATAATGACTTTCTCTTTTCTCTCAATAGCATGGGATGGGAGTCCCCTCCATTTCTATTATGCTTCATGAACTTATCAAATTACTACATCACGCACGGTGCTGTGACGTTACTATTATCAGAATTGGTACATCGGGGGGAATAGGTGAGATGGATTGATTTCTCCTGTTAAAATTGAGTTACATACATACTTGAATTCATTCAAAGTACACCAACATATAGCCCAGCAGAAACCAAGATGCACTAAAAAGTATTAGGAGGCTGGACCTGAGGAAATGTAAGGAAATCTACTCACATTGCCCTTTTCTTTTCTTTTTTTCCCCCCCATGGAAAGCTGGAGGGAGAGATATTGCTGCTTAATCCCCAAACTGTCTCAGATGTGCATACAGAGATGAATAGAAAAGTGCTAGAAAATATTTTAAGGGTAAGAGTAAGTTTTGAAGTTTGGAAATTTAGCAAGTGATAGAAGCACGTTCAAGTAGATAAGTTACAAAGATTCACCTGCTGTATCAGCTAAGTAAGCAGACTTCACAGCTCCTAGGAAACCATTGCTTTTGGCTCATCTCATTGACCACATAGCTCTCTTGGCTGTATCTTTTCCTCATCAGTACCCCAGAAAGAGATTAGGAGGAGCTTTTTAGAGAAGGTCAATTGGTCCTTCCTAACATTTCCCCAGATCCTCCCAAGTCCTCTCTTCCTTGGTGGGTCAAGTAGCTGTCAAGGGCCCTCATTTATGCTTCCAGATTGTGCTGAGATAAAGTATTGAGGAAACCTCTCCTCCCTCACCTCTCTTAAAGAACAGGCCTCCTCAGGGAGCAATTTTATTGTGTCCCCAAATACAAGTACAAATAGGTCACTATGACTGGAAAGTTTTGGTTGACAGACTGACAAGACTAAATGGGCATTAGTCAAAAGGTTGAGAATTTGAAATAGAAATGACATTAAAATTACACATCTTTGGAAGAAAAGACCTCAGAAATCTAAAGAAGAAAAAGAAAAAGAAAACCCTAGTGAAGTGATATGTCCGGTGACACAGTCATTAAAATCAGCCATGTTTCCCTAAAATCAGGCAGTGATTCAGGAATAAAATACAGCCAAGGTCCATTACATATGCAAGAAAGGAAAAGCGTGGATGCCCATTCAGAGTGAAAGGAAAATGTAAGCAATTAGTGTTAGATAAGACTCCATCTAGACTGTAGCTAACCCACTTAGTACTTTAATAGGGAAGAGCGCCTCTGGGAATGAAATGCATAGCTCTGTTATTAAATTGTCTCATAGTACATGGGTTATGGTGTACAAATATCAGTTTTCATAGCTCACATCTATACATGGCACCACCTTGACTGCTGCAGTTCCCACTTGGTATCCATGAGTGTCCAGCGTGGATATGCTACTCTGGGGACTGTTCAGCTCATGGCCATGGTCTTTAAATTCATGGCAACATTATCCACACTGCACACAGACAGAAACAAATCACAATGAAGTCCTATGAATAGGCCTTAATAATAAATTAATCTACAGTGCTGGTGTGAACATATCCATTTTTAAAGTTATATATTTATAATGAACTCTTTGCTTATAGGAAGAAAATACTAGTTTGTTTTGTTTTAAGCAGTATTGCATCTGGAGATGAAAGATGTATACACCTTTCTTTGCTGACATTCTCATTGCTTAAAAGAGTGAACAAACACTAATAAGGCACTTGATAAAATAATATTTGTTGGGGCTGGGGATTTAGCTCAGTAGTGCTGCCACTTGCTTGGCAAGTGCAAGGTCCTGAGTTACATCTCTGGTACCCCCCCCAAAATTGTCCCTTTGAAAAAATTGAACCATGAAATACATTCTTTAATACACATAAATATTAAGATGGCATGCAAGTGACATCATTTTATATGCACTTTCAACTTCCTTTTTTTTTTTGGTACCAGGGATCGAACTCAGGCCCTTGCACTTGTGAGGCAGGCACCAGAATCACTGAGCTAAATCCCCAGCCCTCAACTTCCTTTTCAGTTGCTTTCCTATTAGCATATTTTGAACGGGAACCACTTGTTTAGCTTAGGTAAGAAGTACTTGATCCTTTAAAGCTCTATTCAGAGGCCACCTTGGATCACTAGCTGGGTCTTCTAAAATCTTCTGTAATTAACTCTACTTTGATCAACATTGGAATTTATGTAACTCAGGTTTAGCTCTGTTATATAACAGGGATTGGCAAACTTTTCCTGCGAAGGGCCAGATAGTAAGTATTTTAGGCTTTGTGGACCATATGGTTTCTGTCACAACTTCTGGACTCAGCACAGTAGGTTGAAAACCACAAAGGACAGTATGTAGGTGAAAGTATGTGGCTGTGTTGCAATAAAACTGTATTTACAAAGACAGTTGGGATTTGGCTTGTGGATTGGAGTTTGCATATCTATTCTCTGTGGCACCTCTATAGCAGCATTTACTCATTCAAAACATTTCTATAGAGTAACTCCAGTGTGACAAGTAGAGTGCTAGACTGGTGAGATAGGAGTGAGTAAATATTGCTCTCACCGATGTAGCTAAGACCCTAGTTTCAATCACTAGTACTACACACACACACACACACACACACGCACACACACACTCGCGTGAGTGCGAGAGTTAAAACAGAGAGTCTATGGCATTCTAATCCTAGGAAGCATGCCATTAAATTAGGGTTTGAGTCACAGGTGGCCTGGGTAAATTTAATGTAACCAGTGTTGCCTTTTGTTTTTATATACGCATTGCTTTGGCTCTCCCTCCCTAGATTCACTTCCTGTTGAAGGAAGTGACTAAAGCTGCCACCTGAAAGATGAATTGGTATAAGTCTGAGGGAAAGCAGCAGGGCAGAGTAAGAGTTAGCAGAACATGGCTTCTCCAGTAAGCTGAGTCCCTTGAGTGAGCCAGACTCAGTAGCAGTGGAAGGTCAGCCAAGCAGCCTAATTTACATGGAGTCAGGGAGGAGACCGAGTGAATGTGACGAGAATCAAAAAGAAGAGAGGACTGAAAGAGATGCCAAGAAATTATAGTAATCAAGGAGTTGCAGAGAAGATTAAATATCAAGTAGTCACATCACTTTATGAAAGCTATTTGCTGGCAGCCTCATTTAGTTTATTCCTGACCTACTTTTTTCAAAATTAAGCCTCAAGACTAGTACTAATTTACATGCCCAAGAGTCATGTTTGTCTTGAAATCTAAACCCTATCACTTTCTAAATGTGAATCTAGAAAGACAGCAAGTAGAAATGCCTGTCCTGAATGTTATCTAATTGCATTTGGAAAAGAAAATAATATTAAAGAAGAAAACAGAGAGAGCCTTTAGCAACTAGCCTTAACTAATATGGAAAAATAGTTATTACTATGTGTCACAAAAGTAAGCTTTCAATGATATTCTTCCCTAATACTTATTTGTTATCACTTGACAGGGATTGCACCTGGATCTGTTGTAATAACAGATACAGCTGTAGACTCCTTCTTCAAGCCCCAGTTTCAGCAGGTAATTTTGGACAACGTTGTCACTCGAAGTACTGAACTTGACAAGGAGCTGGCTGAAGAACTATTCAACTGCAGCAAAAGAGTTCCCAACTTCCCAACCCTCATTGGACATACAATGTGTACCTATGATTTTTATGAAGGTGAGAATAATTCATAAACAGTCAAGGCAACAGAAAAGCAATTTTGTTATTGAAACCTACAATTTATATAAAAACTATACTTTCAAAAATTAATAGAGATGGACTAAAAAAGGAATTGCCACAGCCTTTTCACTTACTAAGCATACCAACATAAGGATGTAATAAATAGAGAGAAACATGCAGAATAAATTTATATTGAGTAAATTTAATCCTACAAGAGCAAATCAACTACTAAAATGCAATTAGTGATGTTGACAAAATCTTATCTCTGTCCATGCGTTTAGCTGAAATTGATGACTCCAGGGGAAGGGAGATAAGCTGGTTCTGTTTTTGCTATTCACCTGTATCTCAGAAAGAATCTAATACCCAGGCAAGGATGGAGACCAGGAAATGGGAGAAAATGTTCAGAGGAACAAATCCCACAGGAATGGAGTGGTCTTAGCACTGTGCTTTTGTCTCAGTACGAGTAAAAGGTCCCCATGCCAAGATTACAGACAAATTAAAGGTGACTGCCAAGCATCATCTCTTGTTCCAAGGGATGAGGGGCAAGGAAAACAAGCAAGCAAGCAAGCAAAACCATTTAAGGACAGACTCTGCTAATTTCAGAAGAAAGAATTATCATGGGGTTGACCCCACACTGTGGAGAGCATTCAGGAAATGTTTTAGTGTAGTTTTATTCAAATCATATTATTTCATGACTTAATTATAAATAACTTTCATATTCCCACTGGATCAAACTTTGGGTATTACTGCGAATTTTTAAAAATTATATATTGAGGCCAGGGATTTAGCTCAGTGGCATTGCACCTGCCTTGTAGGCACAAGGTCCTGAGTTCAATCCCTGGTACCATACACACACACACACACACACACACACACACACACACACACAAACGAATTATGCACTGAGACAGGCTATATTATCTATACTTTATGCAGGACACTGATGGTGTTTAACCACATATTTGTTATAAAATAGCAGGGGTATTGGGTCTGACATGGATAAGACCCTTTCTCCTAGGCCACGGGCTGGCTGTCCCCTCATCTGGAGGGTCAGCTAGAATGATAGTTAAGACAGAGCTTGCAAATGGCAGCCTTTGGAGTCAGTACTTTTTTGACTTCTTACTCATGGCCAGCCTGGCATGCTCTGGCACATGCCTGGGCCACACGTTCTGGGATCAGGTGGGGCTACTTGCATCATACCAAGCCCACCCTGTGCTTGGCTCCTGGCATATGTGAGTTTGAATCAGTTTAAATAACACCGTTTGTCATGGGACAATTAGCAAATAGGAAGAAAAGGACCAAAGGTGTAGGGACAGTGAGAAGGATGGGGAAGGGGGAATAAGGGAAAAGGAAAAAAATATGAGAAAATGTAAAAATGGAATTAAAGTGTTTGAAGGGGGGGAGGGAAGGGGAGGGTGAAGAGAGGGTGGGGACAGGAGAAAAAATGAGAAACAAGACCTGGCATGTAAAGGTACAAGATCCCAGTAATGAATGTAACTGTACTGTCTACTTAGAATGCACCAATCAATTCAATTTAAAAATAAATAAATAAATAAATAACCCCATTTGAGGTATTGTCAGGCAGTTTTCAGAGGAAGAGAAAGAACAGGGAGAGGCTGATGGCGAGGGTGGAAACAACCTGAAAGCGACAGAGGTCAGGGAAAGAAAAGAGAAGGCTCTAAATGGATTGCACATAATGTGTGATGGTGGGGTGTTATCAGCCCATCTGCTTCAAGCTGGGCTCTCCTAGGAGTGGAGAGAGGGTCAAGGTCCGCTTTCTGGGTGTGCACCTCCTCTGTCCCCACCACTTGATGCTGGTGAAATGAATGACATGAGAACTGGGAAGCATCTAGAGAGGAGCATGTGGCTCACTGGCTGAGGAGAGCGTGAAGGGAAGAAGGCAGGCACTCTGGTCTCCTGCCCTGGTTGTCACTCGTGACGGCCATGTGGAGAGCTGCAGTGTCCAGACTCTCCTCCCAACCCTCGCTTCCCTTAGGCGCCTCACCGAGGGTGAAGCCTCCTCTTCTCCCCCACACCTCCACCTGGGCCACGCCCATCACTAGGGCAGCCTGAGGATCTCCTCAAAGGACAGCTCAGTTCTTTCAGGAACACCCAGTCCCCAGTGTCCCTGGACACAGTGATGACTGCTACCACCACTCACTGATCGGTCCCTGGCAGCATACACTCAGCCCTAGGTAAGGGACGCTGCAGCAGGTACAGCCGTGCTCCACAGTCCTCTGGTCAGAAGATCCGGTACCAGTCTTATCCCTCCTTAGGAGTAGGCTCGAGTGAGGTCGCTACATGATCTCCATTCTCTTTTAGGCCAAGGTCGACTCGACGGAGCATTGTGTGCTTTTTCTAGAGAAAACAAGTTAGATTACTTGAAGAGAGCATATGAAGCTGGTGTCAGGAATATTGAAATGGAATCTACAGTATTTGCAGCCATGTGTGGACTCTGTGGTCTAAAAGGTGAGCCCAAGGGTCTCATTCTTCTCTTTCATGAAGCTATTTCCACTCAAGAATGAGGGGTCCAGTTATATATTACTTTGGGTTGAATGCATGCTTTATACTTGTATTTGACGTACATTATGTCATAAGATTTTGTGAATGGACAGAACTAATATATGCACATGAGGAAACCAAGCCTCAAGGGTCAAAGAGAATTGCCTGAAGGCACCACCTATTGACGACATATCCAGGCCTCCACAGCAAGTTTAGCTTTCTTCATCCTGGTAGTGACTGATATCTTCTATTACAATTGAATTTACTGAGACAGGATGCAAATGAGATCGTCCTAAAATAGCCCATCAATTTTAATTAGCATAGTCAGGGGAGGATGGGTGGAGAAGGTGGCATTTGGGAAAATGTTGCATGGATATCTAGGGAAGCCCATTTTGCTAAGTGTAAGCTTAAGGCCACAAGGCAAGAGATGCAGGTTATGTTAGAGGCACAAAGAGGAGACCAGAGCACGTAGAGGAGCAGCAGCAATGAAGAATGGCAGAAGGGTTGCAGATTGTGCTACTGTTCATTGTGAGAACTGTGACTTTAACTCTGAATGAAGCCAGGAGCCTCCCAAGGACTATGAATAAAGAAGCGATCAGATCAGATGTGCATTTAAATGTTCACCCTGGCTGCTGAGTGGGGAAGAACCTAATGGGGCCCAGGGTAGAAATGGGGAGAAGAATAAGAAGGCGAATGTAGCAGCCCAGTGGGAGACGATGGCTGTGGAGTTTGTGAGCAACCCAAAGACAAATCCATTGATACTTTGACATAACTTGCAGTGAATTTTGGGAGAAACTCAGGAGTTCAGAATGACTTCCAAATTTACAGCCAGAACACCTGGAAGGATGAGGTTATAATTGGAACAGAAGAAATGTAGGTGAGAAGCAGGGAGTCGCACTATCCAAATGGAGGCCCTGTAAGTAGGTAGACTTAGGAGTTTGGAATTCAGGTGAGGATTTGGACTGGAGGAATAAGATTGTAAGTTAAAACATATAGGTGGCATTTAAAGCCATGCAATGGACAAGGAGGAAGCATACAGAAGACACTATTAACCAGAAGTCCTTGGTTAAGCATTAAAAGCCAGTGAAAGTGAGGGAGATCCCAGAAGACTGGCCTGTGATGTCAGTAGTACACAACAAGAGGGTAGCATCCTGCTACCAAGATTAAAAAAAAAAGGTTTTTGAATGAAGCCACAAAAAAACAATAGCATAGTAATGCTTCCTTTTATTTTAAGTGATGTTTGAATTGTAGTATTTGTCCTCATAGTCAATCAATTTTACCATACACCGTACAAATAAAATGTGTGTGGTAGCACTTCTGAGAATACATTTTAAAAATAGTTATGGTTCATAAGAAGAGATTAATTGTAAAATCACTATCCTTAACTACGTTAGTCTCAGGATGTGTGAACAAGCAAAGGTATACCACATGAGTAAAGAAAAAGGAATTCATCATTGTTCTTTATAGAAGGTCATGGTTAGCATCCCCATGCAGAGAAACAACAGCATCTGCTTTTCTTGCTGTGAGTTAGTGAGAGTGGCTGCTTGACCACTTCATCAGCGCACAGCCTGCAGAACACCTGGATTCAGATACTTCTGGCCCGGAAAGGCCTCCTCACATTTCTTCATTATAGAAACAAGTGATCACTTGAGTCACATGGAAGTGGAGATGGAAATGTAAATCAGCAGAATCTGGTAACCACTTTAGTGAAACATAAAATGCTGAATTATCAACGTGCTGCCAGGGGTCAGTGTGGAGGTGGCTATCAGCCCTTCCTCAGGGAAACCAAAGAGAGTTGCAGGCTGGAGAACCAAGGACATGAATCTTTCTTTCTTTGGAATTTTGCAGAAACCTTAGAGAAGTTATTCCCTACTGAGAGCTTTTCTGTCCTTGGTACAAATCTTTGTGACCTTGGTGTTCCTGCTAGCTGCAGGTGCCTCTCTCTGATGCTTTCCTCTGCCTTCCCGTGATTCTGCCCCTTGCTGCATTTCCTTTTTGCTGCTTCTGCTGAAGCTGCTGGTAGCTGATGTCAGCCTGAAAATAGCTCTCTTCCAGGTACTACTTGGCCTTTTCATGGAGCAGACCCCTTCTGGGTTGCTAACATTCACATTAAAGGTAGCATCCAAACCTCTATAATTTGGTAGTTCTTGAGAATATTTATGTTGAGATTTCTTCATGGTGACAGGGGTTATTTACCTCCCTCAGACATCTCTGTCTTTTGTTTTTTTGTTTTGTTTTTGTACCGGGGACCGAACTCAGGACCTTGTGCTTGCAAGGCAGGTAGCAGAAACTGCCTGCTAAATTAGTGGCCCAGACATCTCTGTTTTAAAAGGCAGATTCCTGGTACACTGCAACCCGGAAGATCAGCCATCAAGTTCTCAGACAAAAGACCCATGCTTGGGTTTCTACCATCTTTGATTACCACTTCATAACATCATTTCCCCACAGCAATGAGGCTGGAGAGATGGCATCTGGCACCTTTTGATTTTAACTCAATTACAGTCCTTTCTTTGTGAGCCAAAAAAGCTCACCTTAGGGAGGGGCTGAGGGTGAATTCATAAACAGCTGCTGAGATAGAGAAAGTTAGACAAGGGAGTAATCTACCTGGAAAAAAAGATGTCACATAGCACCAAGAGCTCAGCGCCCATTGCTGCCTTTAGCTTCCAAAACTTGCCTCCACCTTTAACCCATTCTCTGATACTGTTAGTAGTGGACCCCCCAACCGTGCTTCTCCAGGCAGCCTTCTCTGATGACCTTCTCCATCGCTTTAATACTACCAGATGACAGAAATCAATCTGAATTCCTACCGAGGTAGTAGCTGATAGTTTCAATTTATACACAACAACATCTTTTATAAATAAGAGTCTTGTGAGGACCCATTGTCCTAATTCAGAGGAATAGCTCACAGAGTTTGGACCAATGAAGAAACTGATCTTTCTGTATCTGCCTGGTACAGGGGGATCTCAGGTCCATGATCTGCCTCTTTTCTCTACAGTTAATGTCTGATCTCACCATAAATCTCACTCCTTCAGGGAAGTCTTGTGTCATCATCCAAACCTATTCACTCATACTCGTGTCCTTCTGTTTTATTTCCCCGCATCACATTTACCACTATTGATTTTATTTCTGCTTTGTTTATACATTTACTTGTATTTTAATGTATGCCTATTAATGTATAAAGGCATACATTTCTTCTCTCTCTCCACTAGGGTAGAAGTACCATAAGACTGGGGACTTTGCTTGTAGTAGCTCTACCCTCAGGACTTGGAATAATGTCTGCAAACTGGGGACTCAATAAATATGTGTCAACTTGATGAATGAGAAGAATGGCTGCTAGACTTTTGGCCGTGGAAAAATGGCCATGGCAAATTAGGCCTCCATTCCCCAGCCATATTAGTGTTTTGGAATTGTCTGAAAAACAGGAGTGCTTCCTAACTGTCCCAAAAGGTCAAGCTTTCTCTTTCTCTTTATAGATACTTCTTTTACTATAGCTGCAATCCCTTGGCCTTATCATATTCAATAGTTGCACAGACTTCCTGGAATAGGGCCACGAGCCCTCATAAATCACTGTTCCTCTACTGATCTTATTATCCAGAGCAAGAGTATTAGGAACTCAGGGCTGCTTTAACAATGATTTGGGTGAAGAGAAATAGTGGAATTTACCAAATTATTCTATATCAAAAAGCCAAACCTTTAGAATAGTATAAAGCTGTACAACAGAAACACTATATAGTGCATTTATTTATCGTTTTATAGTATGCACATATCTGCCCTTTTCTTAAAGCAAAATTTACTTTTATTAAACCCATTTCCGATTAAAGATGACAATCCTCTTGCACTATAACCTTGTGATAAGTATATTCAATTTACCTCCATTTTTAAAGACAGTGCTGCCTTTTGACATGCACTTGTGTGGTAATATAAAAAACGTAATATTTGTTGAAGATTAGGTTCCATTTAAATCCTCTTCACCATCATCAGTTGTTTGCTACTCACAGTGGCTTTTCTTTAAAGGAAAAGTTCAGTGTTATTTCTTTTAACAGATACTTGTAACTTTGGAGACATATTCAGTCTTCATAATATTACTTTACAACTGTTCAATAAAAGCAAGCAGAAGTTTGACTTTAATTCTATTTTTATACTCTTCTACTGTCCCCAGCAATGAAGAATATCAGGCTTTGGAAACTGCCTGCTGATCATTGATAAAGTAAAACAGATTTAACAACAAAAATGAAAGGCTATGGTAAATTTGGAGCAGAAGTGCTTCTTAACCCTAAAAAGAAGATAAATCAGGATTTAGAAAAATTATTATGGAAGGGTATGAGGCCACCAATTACATCCCCCTTCACCACACAAGATAAAAAAAAAAAGAAAGAAACTATGACTCAGAGATGTTAGATAATTTTCTCACCTTTCATGACGGAGAAATAGCTGAATCGGATTTGGGACTCAGCTCAGACTGAGGCCCCTTTGCACTATCCTGTGCTGCTTCTTGCCGACAGCCTCTCTGTGCAGGCACAAGGTTTGTTGTCTCACCCAGAAGAACCAGAATATGCATCAAGTCACTGAAGATTCATCCATTCCCAATGTTGTGAACATTTAGTTGCACAACATCACCAAGAAAACCCAAGGGCTGATCATGTTCCAAGAGTTACCCAATAAAAATGTAATTCAATAAAAATGTCATCCGGATAGTCATTACTTTGTCAAGAAAGCCAGTCCTTGTATCTGGAAAATCAGGTGTAAATAATAAATAATCCACCTATTACTTTATGATTTTTTTAAAATTGACACATAATGATTATTATAGGATACAGTGTGAAATTTTAATACATGTGTGACTGTATAATGGTCAAATCAGGGTAATTAGTCTATTCATGATATTTGTTATTTCTTTGTGGTGAAACATTCAAAATCTGCCTTTTATGTTTTTCACTCATTACTTTTACAGACAAGATTTTAAAAAATATTTGGTGTTGTCCTGCTTTATAAGATCTTTCACATTTTTAATCAAAGTCAGTGTCTTGAGTTTTGTTTGATTCACTTAAATTCTACTGTGATAACCTGTAAGCTGATTGCTGTAGTTTAAACCTAGAGTCCCCCTCAAAGCGTCACACATTCATAGGTGGGGCTCAGTGGAAGTGACTGGATCAAGGAGCTGTGATCCTCATCCATGGCTTAGTCTGCTGATGAGTCTATAGCTAACTGTGATGTTGGGAGGTGAAGTCTTGTCTGAGGATGTGGATCACTGGGGTTGTGGCCTGAAGAAATATCTCCCTCTCTTTTCCCTTAATCTCTCTGCTTCCTGTCTATGATCAGCCCTCTTCTGCTATGCCCTCTGCCATGCCACATGCCAGCCAACTATGAACTGAAACTTCTACAGATTGTGAGCCAAAATCAACTTTTCCTCCTTAAACTGTGGGTGTCAGGGATTGTGTCCCAGTGACAAGGGAAGTAGCATAGACACCAACCCTCCTTCCCCACTGTCAGTGTACTCACACATGAGAGCATCACTTAGGACCATTAATCCTATCTCCGTGTGGTTTCAGGGCTTTGGGGACCAGGGGCTTCCTAAAGTTACGCACACATTTTTATGTTTAGGCATATGTATGAAAAGAGGTTCCAATTAAAACTTTCATCAGATTCTCAAAGAGCCCATACATGGCCCCAAGGGGTTTTCAAATCCTGGGCGTTCATATTGCAGCTCAGGGGACATTAAAATCTGCATTCAGATCTGTGTTTTCGCATGCATTCCATCTTCAGGTCAGTTAGCTGACAAGCTTCTTGGTGACGACTTGGTCACTAAGTTCTCCTCCCTCCCCAGCTTCCACCTTCCATACCTAATCTGAGGATTATGGTAGCAGAGCTACCAGGTTTAATTTTGACACATTGTTTTGGGTAATTAGTCCCTTTTAATTGCTCATGGAAATAGTAATTTTAGGTGACAAAATTATTATATGCTGCTTGTTAATGGGATCTCTAGGGTCAAGAAAACACCACTGAGATTGCTTTTGCCTGTTATTTCCCACCTTTGACATTACCCTTGAAATCAAGAAAAGATGTTCAGTAAAGTTGGCTTCCACTCTGTGAAAAATACAGAGCACCAGTTTCCTTTCATCCTTCTGTCAAGTGAAGGATTAGAGAAGGACTTTCAACTTTTCTCTGCTACTGCCAGCCCATGTCAGGCTTCACAGACTTGCTGATCATTAATTTGAAAAGCTGAGGGAAGCTTCTAGCTTTTCCATTTGCCTGTTTACTTGTTCAGCCAAGTTGCTTTACAACTGAGTGAGTTTTGAATAAATAGAGTCCTAGGTGATGAAATGTTTGACTCAGCTCAAACTGAATATTCTCATTGCTTCATAGAATGTAAGGGTCACTTTGACCGATCGGATAGGACAGGTTCTCCTAATGGTTCACCATGTACTAGCTCAACAGAAGGGTGGATAGAAGGGAGGAAACTCTTCCTCAGCAGTTTAGGAAGCTGGAAATTTATTGCCTACTTGTTGAACAGTTGCATCATAATATCTTTATTTTACCCTTATTAAGCCTTCATTTTATCATCTGTCAAAAGAAGAGAAAAATAATACCTAGTTCATGGCACATCCATATGAGTTGGATATCTTAAGTCCTTAGCTTATGCTAAGAACAAAGCCAAACAAAGAGATTCATGAATCAGGAGAAAATATTTACACACATTATATTTGATAAGAGATTAATATCCAAAATACACAAGAAACTCATACAACTGAATAGCAAGAAAACAAAAAGCCTGATTTTAAAAATAGTCACAGGGCCCAAATAGACACTGCTACAAATGCCCAACAAAATATATTTTAAAATGCTCCACATTACTAATCATCAGGAAAATACAAATTAAAACCACAGTGTTATATCAATTCACAAATTGTTGGAATGGTTGTTACAAAAAGACGAGAGATAACAAGTATTGGAGAGCATGCACATTGTTGGTGGAAATACAAATTAGTACCTCCATTTTGAAAAATTGTAAATTAAAAAAACCAAAGACAGAATTACCATATGATCTAACAATCCTACTTCTGCATATATAATCAAAAGAATTGAAATCAATATGTCAAAGAGATATTTATATTCCCATTGATTGTACCATTATTTACAAGAGCAAAGCTATGGAATCAACCTAAGTGTCACAAGTAGACTGATCACTGAATGAAGAGAATGTGGTATATGTACAAAACAAAATCCTATTCAGCCTTAATGAAGAAGGTAATTTGGTCATTTGTGACAATGTGGATGAACCTAGAGGACATTACAGCAAGTGAAATCAGCTAAACACAGAAACATAAATATTACATGATCTAACATGTGGCGTCTAAAAAAAGTCAAACTCAGAGAAGTAGAGATTAGAATAGTGGTTACCAGAGGCTCGGGGTATGGCAGGGATGGGAAATGGAGAAATGCTGGTCAAAGAGTACAAAATTCTAGCTAGGTTAAAAAATTGGGGGAATCTATTGCACAACATAGTGATTATTGTTAACATATATTTCAAAATCTCTAAGAGTAGATTTTCAATGTTCTTATTACACGAAAAGACAATTATGTGAAGTGATGGATATGCTATTAGTTGCAGTGAGTTTTTCTACAATATACATATAGATATATCAAAATACCATACCATACTACTTAGCTATATACAATTATTATTCATCAGCTAAAAGTAGAATTTAAAAAGATAACCTGTACTCTTCTCACAGTACAAGTCTACCCAAGTCCAGATCTTACAAAGAAGTTTGAAGTAGAAGAGGAGATCATAATAAGGGGGGGACTATACTCATGTCCAACTCTATCTGTATGCCCTCAAAGCTTGTTAATGTAGACATATCCAATCCAACAGGTACTGACGTCATTTCTTAAATGATGCAGATGGAGATTATTTCAATTCAAAGTGCTTGGCACAGATTTCACGTAGATAACCACATTCCTTGAAATCAAAGATAGTGAAACTGATAATAAGGAATTTATATGGAGGCCAATTTTTTTGTTCTTTCCCCCTTTGCTTCTTACCTATTGTAGAATTTTATTCCCATTCTTTAGAAATTAAATGCTAATGTATTTTTTTTTCTTTCATGGAACTGGTTCTCATGTTTAAGCATTTCATTTCAGATCTTTTTTCTCAAGTTTCATGAGAATCAGTGCTCACCCTTCTTGGTATTTCCTGGGTCAGCCTTCCATCTCTCTTCTTATTTACTTTGCTCTTCAGCAAGGGCTGTAGCAGGAGAATTCAAACATTAAATAGAAGAGTGAAATGTCACCAGGGAATAATATCTAGCTCTCCTTGTGAGAAGAGCCTGCTCTAAGGACTGGAAATAAGATCAAAAGCTTCAGGTTATATGTCTCAAATGGCAAATATCTCATCTTATACCTATCTTGAACATGATGCTTTTCTGAATTTAAATCAAGCCGACGGTAGAGGAAAGGGGAAAGAGGAGAGTGCTCATAATATTTTCAATTACCTCATTTAAGTAAAAAGGCTGTTGTGGGATTCCATAGAAATGTGTATTATATAGAAGATGAGAAGGTTTTTCAAGTTGTTTTTACATTACAGGAAAAACGGCCTCACCTGCATGTGCTATGAACACTGGCATGTTAGGCTGCTCCTGTAGGAAAGAGAAACCCATTTACTTCAGTAATTGTGTTATTTTCTCTACTAGCTGCTGTGGTCTGTGTGACACTGCTTGACAGACTTGATTGCGATCAGATCAACTTGTCCCATGATGTTTTACTGGAGTATCAGCAACGGCCTCAGCACCTGATTTCAAACTTCATAAAAAAGAAGCTTGGACTTGATGACTAGACCGCATAACTTGGAGGTCCAATCCTCTTTTGCAAGTTAGTAGACTAAGTTGTAATGCTGAAGCCATGTATCATTTGTAGCATCTTCTGTTTTTCTTTTCTTTCTGCCCGGTGTGGGAGGTTGAATGCAGGGCCTCACACATGCTAAGCAAATGCTCCACCATTGAAATACAGTTCCAGCATTGTAACATTTTCAGATAGCTCTCATTCCCATGCTAAAAGCATAACAGGGAGATTAGATGAAATCCTTTCCTCTTAAAAACTGAATTTAGTGTAAGAAAAATTTAATACTCACATTAAATTACATTTTAGAATAAGTTAACTAAATCAGTCTAATAATTAAAATTTTAAAGTTCTGAATTGTGACATTTGGAGTTTCATATTCAGCATTAATTAAGCTCACATCAAAATAGATCAGCCATTTGTACATACAGTTAGCAGCCACCGTATTTCTGAAACCAATCCAGAAATTCATGTTAGGACATTGTCAGGCACATTTAGGTGTTGGACAAGTGACAGAAATTGATCATGCACATTCCAAATATTTACAGAAAAAATGTCAGTGTAATGTAGATCTAATGAGAGTTATCCTTAGGAAAATATGACCATATTTTTTTCCTTACCCCTGCATGATTTTAGTGCACCACAGAACAGGATTAGAGGTTTTTGTATGCCTATGTTTGTGATTTTATCATAGAACATAACAGCTATGGATTACACATTTACTTTCAAATGAAAACCCTTGGTAGTGCAAAGAAAGACCTTTTTTTCTGCAGGAATCATGTCACTAAATTGC